TCAGTAAATCTGGAGTAGGATTCTGGGAAATCTGCACTCAACTAGGATCCAGGAGAGGCTTAAGGATATGCCCAAGTTTGGACAAATTACCAAGGAGCAACAAGACTGAAGCTGAAGTCCGGAGTGCAGATATCATGTCTCTCCTTGAATGGAAATGTGTATGTTGATAAGGACTAAGTATTCCTCAAGGAGTCCCTGCAAGTGGGTCCCCAAATAAATGAGTTGTGAGCACTCATCAAAGTCAGATTGCTTCTCCAAACTCCTACATGTCCATACCTTTAAAATTGTGATATCAGTGCTGATGATCGATTTCTGCCCTGGCTGGACAGCCACTGGTCTTCAGTGACCCCTATTCATATCCTGGTGGTAACCATAGCATGCTGAAGGAGATACTTTATTGCCATATTCCAATAAATGAGTGAGATTGAGCCCTTTATCCATTCAAGAGAAAGAGAATGAACATTTATTAAGAAATCAGAAAAATAAATGGACACTTTTCAGTGCCACCTGTATGTACATAGTTAAAGCCATGAGATCTATAGAAGTGTCTAGCTCTTGTAGACTCACTACAGCTTGCTCAAAAAAGAAACATACTTTGCAAATGATATCTAACCTAATCCTCACAAAAATATTTGGAGGTATTATCATTCCTGTTTTGCAGATGAAAACAATTGAAGCTCAAAGAACTTAAAGAATTAATACACTGTCATGCAGCTAGTTAGAGGGAATGTCAAGATTTAAACCCAGGGTCTTATTCTAAAGTTCATTCATTCCATTTACATGCACTTCAAAATCCCAACATTTACATATACATTTTATTTCCATAATCTAGGATGTTAAGACTATGCAATGCAGTTTTTTTTGAGGGGGGGGTATTTTTTTTTTTTTTTTTTTGGCCATCATATCCAACTCTCACAAATCTAAATATTAATTATAAATGCTTTTCTGTTACACTTCTGCACATTACACAATAGCCGAAATACATAAAATGTGTTTACCACTGCAACTCTCCCATGGGGTTTCCCCACACATCTGACTGTCTCATCCAGACATTCAAAATAGGCACGTGCTCATCTATAAACACATTCTTCCACTTATGCTTCCTCTTCACTTCCTCTTCTTGATGGAAGCCTTCAGCCAGGGTATCAGCTCCTCTGGCCTATCCCAGCCTTCTCAGCCCTTCCAAAGCTGCACCTCCCCCAGGACATCTCTGGTACTTCCAGGGCATTGCCACCACCTCCCTGGTCCTCTAGAACCTCCCAAGCAGTCCACATGATAGGCACCCCTTAGAAAGTTCCAGCATGGGGGCAGTCACTCTGTGGTTCTCTATGTGTACATGCTAATAAGATGTGTATGTCTTTTCTATAATAAAAAAAAAAAGGAAGTTCCAGCATGGACTAGCTGAGCTGAGGTCAGTATCTGAGAGAAAATAAAATGGGCTTAAGGATCATCTGCCCTTCTGAGGTCTCCATCTGCATAGCAGGTGAGATATCAAGGAAGCAAGGACCCCACACCATAGTATCTTTGCACTTCAGACAGAAATGTCCTTCACTAAGTCACATGCCAACACCATGACTCTGATGTTAAATAAGTGGTGAAGGAATATTGGAAATGGCCATGGGAGAACTATGTTTGCTTCTTTCCTTTTGATGCTGAGCCCCTTCCATATCATGATCCATGTAATAAATTCCTCCTAGAGTTTCCTCCCAGGAATAATTTTGTCTCCTTTGAAGGATAGCTATGTTTTCTTTTTCAGAAAAAGAAAAGCTATGTCACCCATCATGTGTCCCTTTTTGCTATAGCTGCTAGCAAGCTCAAGAGTTAAATTTAGTGCTCAATCACATTGATTATCTCATTCTCAGTTCTGGAAAAAAATTATCTTCCCTTTTCTCCTCTATGATTTCTGAGCTGTGGAGGCACTGGAAATTTAGAAAAGGGTTCATGTTATCTCTTTGCTCGAATACCAATGCTTTTCAGAAATCCTCATGGATATCAGCTGTGGATTAAGGAAATTAAATCCAGCTACATCACCCTCCTGCTCTCTTATGGATTGTTACTAATTGATAAGGATATCAGAACCAGTTACATTATCAATATTATTATACAAAGTAATGTGATATATACATACTGGTGGAGAGCGCACCTTATATGCAAAGTCAAATTTCACCCCTGCCCCAATCACAGATTATCCACATCTGATCTCCAGGACCCATCGGTGGATCAGCCACACAAAGTCATGGCCCAATCCACTTTCCATGGATGACCAGAGAGGAAGCCAGAGGGAAGCAGCCCCCCCGACTGGCTCTGGAAGCATGCTGTAAGCCATGGCCCAGTTGTCTTCCCTAATAGGCCAGCCAACAGTAGAAGTGTTGTTGAGACCAGGCCAGTCCAGGAAAGAGAAAAAGAGAAACCATTAATGACTTATTATCAGGACCACTGCGTGCCATGGTACAGGCTGTTCATATGAGGCGTTCGGCTGATGGAGCTTATGATGAGGCTGAAATCCTATTTATTCACCATCTTTTTCAAATTCGTTCTCCCAGATGAGGCACCTTTTTTTCTAATTCACACAAAGGCTCCCTGTGAGCTACAGGGACCCACTTTTACTCTCATCTCAAGTAAGCCATTCCTCTGATGAGGAAGAGAAAGTGTGCTTCGGACTATGGAGCGAGTGACAGAGTGTTCTGCCAGTGCTCTTTTCTCTTGGGTTATGGAGCAAATGTCACCTCTTCTCTGTGCATATGTGAAAAGTTGAGGCAGTAATCATTGTTTGCCTATAACCGTAGAATTCAACAAAGAAGGCAGGGCTCGGTGGCTCAGCCTGTAATCCCAGCGCTTTGGGAGGCCGAGGTGAGTGGATTGCCTGAGTCCGCGGGTTCAAGACCCGCCTGGGCAACTTGGTTGAGACCTCATCTCCACAATAAATCAAAAAATGAGCCGGGCGTGGTAGTGCGCACCTGTAGTTCCGGCTACTTGGAAGGCTGAGTGGAAGGATCCCCGGAGCCCAGCAGGTTGAGGCTGTGATGGCCAGGAGAGTGCCACCGCACTCCAGTCTGGGCAACAGAGTGAGACTCCAACTCAAAAAAAAAAAAAAAAAAAACTTGACAAAGAAGCATAGGCTATTAGGAGAGAGAGAGGTGTCCAAAAGATAAAAAGATCATTGAATTGTCACTGGTTCACACAGTCAACAAATATTCACTCAATGCCTACTACATGACAGGCACAGTATTGGACTTGAAGATGCTTTGATAAATAAGACAAGTCAAGTCTGTCAGAATACCTGGGTTCTGGTTTCCATTCTTTATGCTCCCTTTGGCAAATTATTTCTTCACCTGTGAAGTGAAGTTCTATAATGTCAGCATTGTTCATGTTGTCTCCTAGTTCCAGCTTTCTTACAGTATGTTTAGATCTCTGGGGAGCTTTAGGAAGGATATTCTTTCACAGTTACTGTTTTAGAAAGATGCATCCGCAGAGTCCCTCTTTGGTCTCTCATTCAAATGTTCAATCTTGCCGTGTGTTAAAATCAAAGCTACAGTTCTTATCTGATTGCCCAATTATTTGCCAGGAAAAACTTTCACAGGTAGCTCTACTGAAATTTGGACTCACCTCATCAGCAGACTTAGAAGAATAACTCTGAATAGTTAGCATATAAGATGCTGAGTATGTAAAGACAAGAGGACATGCAGGAGAGGAAACCAGGGAGAGCCAAGGAAGAAGACCTTGAGACTGTGCAGATATTTCCACTGCAAAATGAGGGCTATGGGGAGCAATTTTATCGAGGAGTAGCATGGTCAGATTTGCATTCAAGAACAATCAGTCTGTCTTCATTGTACAGAGGAGCACAATTACAAACAGGGAGATTTGCTCAGAGGCTTTATCAGCAATTAGAAAAGACAATAATGGTGGCCTGAATTAAGAAAGTGATGACAGTGAGGATGAAGAAAAATATGTGGGAGATCAAATGTACAAGACTTGGAGACTGCTTAAATATGGGAAGGAAGGGAGAAGTCAAGTAAGAGGGCTCCCGCATTTCTGATTTGAGCAATAGGCCGATCTCAGTTGGGGGCAAAATTTGGAGCAAGTAATTAAATGGGGCTGGAGAGGATGAAGGACAAGGACCTAGGTAGATCACCCAGATTCCCTATTTTGACACAGACTGCATCTGGTTGAGCTCAAGATCCTACATACTGTAGGAACTTAGTCAATGCATGTTATGTGAATTAATTTTATAATATGAAAGTCTAAAGTGAACTCTGGTATCGATGCCCACAAACTTCAAACTCAGCTTGAAAGAACCCAGCGGCCTTCACCCTCTAGAAATGTCTCCAGAGAACACCTTGTTGAATGGGAGACATGAGGGTGGGACTGTGAACAAGTCTTGATGGCATCCAAGTCCAGCATCCTCTTCAGTCTGGAATAGCTTGGAGATTGACATACTCCATACAAGCACATGATTCTTATTGACTTTAATGGGACTCTCTTACAAGTCACACATTCTAAATTATCTCCTAATAGGTATAATATTATAGGAGACATATTGTTTTACCCTTGATACCCTGTGGGTGCTGTTACACTGTATTCTGACAGTAGCAGAACTCGGAATAAGATCATCTTGTACTAGAATGCTACGATTATATGTTGATTTCTTGTAAGCCACAGAAAATAGGTATTTGCAAAAAAAGAAGAATATTTTTAAAAGAACAATAAAGACATTTAATTCCATGCTAAGAAATATCAAACGCCATCTTCCTAGAGTGTTTATTTTGTCTTGTTTCTGTTTAAGGGCAAGGCATTTTCTTTGGGGGAGGAAGGGATAGTTTTTCCCAGGTCTGGAGATTAGATGGTTTAGTAGGCATTTCACGTTCAGCTCACAAAAAGGGGATTTGCATATGAACTTGTTTCAGCAAGAAAACACATCTGAACATGTTTCATGGGAACTATCTCCATCCATGGCAGCTCCTTTTGACCATCTCCTTCTTTTCTTTCCTTCACTCCTACAGGTCACCGGATTGAAACTGTCTCAGGACCTCGATGATCTTGCCATTCTCTACCTGGCCACAGTTCAAGCCATTGCTGTAAGACACTGGAATCCCATTTTTAAAGAGACTTATGGCTATCACTGTACTCTAGACCACACGCTTCCCAAGATATCTAATGTGTCATATGCTTTTGTGAGAGAGATTCTTAATTAAAAGGGATCTTGTAATAAAGAGATGCTTCGGTGTCTGGAAGGAAATGTTGATGAAGACCCTCCCCTGCTTTAGCTAATAACCTCGCATAACTAAAAGCTTAACGGAGTTAAAATCCTTGAACATTATACTTGTCATTTATCTCATTTGTCTTCTAAATTTAATTAAATGGGAGCAAGCAAGCAGATGCCATGTATGCTTGCATTAAGAAAAGTTGCTGTTAAGAATGTCCACTTTTATAAAACACATGATATTGGTCACTTTGCAAAAGGATTCATTATAGGGTTACCTTAAATAGTTAACTTCCTTTAAACATGAATGTGTTTGTTCTTAGCTAATTAGCTGCTTAAAGGAGAGGTTAGAGTGGTAAGAGAGGAAGGGGAGAATTTAAATCTAAAATGTTGGGAGCTTGTAAATGAAAGATAAATAAAAAACAGAAACAAAATTCTAAAGTCTGAAACATTGTCTAAGGAATCTTCTTATCTAGAGATCGGTGGGTGGGCTACAAGTAAGTTTTAAACCCTGAAATCACATACAGAAAGTTGTTTGTGTGCATAGATTATGAAGTGCATTTGGGGAGAGTGGGTCATGGCTTTCAGGGTCTGAGAGTGGGTAGGTACCCCAAAATAACAGGATTGATCCATGGAGATTAGCCACTTCTAGAAAGAGAATGGGAGCCAGAAGGAAAGAAAACTCAATTTACTAAATTAAAAAAAAAAAAGAAAACTCAGTTTAACAATTTTTTACTCAAAATTATTTTTCAGTAACACTTATTTTAGCCAATGTTTTTGTTTGTTAATACTATATGTATATGTACTCAATTATTCTGTTTCTTCACACAACTGTTTTCATAACCTCATTACTTTAAATAATAGAACTATATGAATATTTATTCATATCACCAACAGTGCTTTATTAATGCTCAGATTTGTCCAAGCACAATGTATGTACAATAGGGACTAGAACTTTCCAAATAATAATAATCCTAATGATACTAAAGGAATATACCATCCTTAATGCAGCTGCACAGAAGTGTGGAATCAGCCAACTTGATTAAACTGTCTAACAGCTCAGCGTACCCAGATACTTTCTTATTGATTTTACAACTTGGCCAGTTCACTGAAATTAATCAAACAGCTTTATACATGGACACTTATTCCAAAACACATAATTTTGAGGTCTGTCAAATAAATGGAGGTGCTGAGTAGTAAGACGAAAATGGAGAACAAAAGTGTGCATCAGTAGTAAAGATAGTTACTTAGCGATCCTGTTTGATGATGATGATGATAAACAGGGTTATTATGTATCAGGAACTTTGCTAAATACTTTACACACGTGATCTGATTTAACCTTATGAAGTAGATATTACAATCCCCATTCCACAGCTTAGAAACCTATGCCTCTGTGCAATTAACTAACTTGCTAAGAGTCATATAGCTAGTATATAGTAGAGCTGGGATTTGAACCTACAGCTGTCTAAGATAAAATTAGATATGTAAAGTACAGTTATGCACTGCATAACAACATTTTGGTCAACAACAGACTCCATATATGATGGTGGTTCCGTAGATTATGATACCATAATTTTACTATACATTTTCTGTGTGTACATGCACAAATACTTACCACTGTGTTATAATTGCCTACAGTATTCAGTAGAGTAATATGCTGCTCAGATTTGTAGCCTAGGAGCAACAGGCTAGACCATCTAGGTTTATGTAAATATATTCTATGATGTTTGCACAATGACCACATCACCTAATGCCTCATTTTTCAGAAGGTATTTCCATCATTAAGCGACACATGGCTGCATTCAGGAACTTTTATTTTTTGATTTGTTGATGTTAATGTATGAAAAAACTCACAGAGGGATACATTGCTTGTGTTGAAGCGAACAATCCAAGAAAATCAGAGCTGTGTGATGCTCACCCTTGGAAAAATATGCTTAAAGGAGGACATGAAGGGTAAGGCCAAGCAGGAGGAGCCAAGAGGCACCATCGCATAAAGATAGTGATAGTCACCTGTCATTGGACATGACTCTGTGCTGGGCAACAGAGTGCCTTACCACCTGTGGCTTAACACAGAACCTGTAAGTAGGTGGGTCTGTTCTCATTTTACAGACAGAAAAAAGACCATTTGCCAAGTTCCAGCAGCTAGTGCTTGGTAGTTGGAATTTGAACCCCTCTCCATCTCACTTCCAGGCTGCTGCCCTCTCTGTTTTACCAAGCTGCATTTTTCTTCTTCTTCTTCATCTTCTTCTTCTTTTTTTGAGTCAGAGTCTCACTATGTCACCCAGGCTGGAGTGCAGTGGCACACCCAGTGGCACACTCATGGCCACTGCAGCCACAACCTGGACTCAGGCAATTCTTCCATCTCAGCCTTCCAAGTAGCTGGAACTATAAGTATACGCCACCATGCCCAGCTAATTTTTTTATTTATTGTAGAGACGAGATCTCACCATGTTGCTCAGGCTAGTCTCGAACTCCCGAGCTCAGGCAATTTTCTCACCTCTGCCTTCCAAAGTGTTGGAATTACAGACACGAGCCACCACTCCCAGCCCAAGCTGCATTTTTCTTTGATCTATTTGTAAAAGCTACATGGATGAAATAAGCTTTCAGACATTCTCAAGAACAGTTTTTACTTAACATATATTAGAAAACATGATTGATTTGGCCTGGGATTGTCTCATGGAGGTTCCTTTCCTGGTAAGCATACTGCAAAAGTCCAAGAATGCATAAATGAGGTTAAACTTAATATAGGCAGGGTGGGGAGAAGGTGGAAGCCAGCTACATTTTCCCAAGTACCACATACTTGGAAAATCAATTTTGTATTTAATGGGCCATACATGTATTAAAAGCTATCATATTTATTCTGTCCATTGTCTTAATGACCTTTGTAATACAATGATAAGAAGACATTTTAAGGCACAATTTTTTTCATAAGGCTTTATTGTGAGGGGGTTCAGCCTCTTTTGCAGACGTATCTGGGTATGCTGATCCTTTAGGCAAAAATGTGCATCTTAATGAACCATTCTGATAACAGATATTTTTCCATAATGTTCAACTTGAGGGAAAAAATTTATTTCATTGGCCCTGAATATTAATTGTTCTAACACCTATTTATTGTTGGTAAATTAAATTTAAACAAATTCCTCTCTCTCTATGGTCATATCTTTGGTTAATATTTTGTAGGGATGGAATTAAATTAAAGAGAGATTGTAATGAAGTTAACTTGGGACTGTGCAAAATCCTCCATGAAGTGAAATACTCTTGATCACACTGAATTGAAAGGCCTGTCAACCACCGGGTTTATCCATAGCCTGTTCATCTATAGTTTTCTTTGCAGAACAAACCCTTAAAAAGTACTATTTGCATTTGAAGTCTCTTGATTTGCATTTGGTTCTGTACATTCCCAGTGGAATAGCCTAATTTTGATTTAAATTTCTCTGTGAAAACATTTTTTCCAGAAAGGTGAGCACAAAATCATTTTCACACAAAGCTCTTTGGTGGGGCATTTCAGTAGGGTGGAGCATGACACAGAGTGGAGTCTGGGACACCAAAAGGGAATGCCCTGTAACCAACTGCCAGCCTGAGTGGGAAATTCCAGCCAACAATGCCACACTGGGGAGAGACAGGCTGTCACAGCCCCTCTTGAGGGACTGCCTCTTATTCGGATCATTTCTTTCCTTTTCCCAAGAAATTTGCTTTGTTTATCCTTGTCTTGGGCAGGCCTGCTAATCATGTGGCTGTAGGTCCCTGGTTTTAGAAATGTCAGTTTTGCAGGACTTTTTAAATTCGGAGACAGCTAGCCTGTGTCCCATACAGACTGTATTGTCTCAGCAAAATTATTTATCTCCTAAGTGGGAATAACAATATGCAGTTTTCACATTTCCCTTAAATGGGAGATGGTGGTAAAGTGTGTAGCAGAGTGCCTAGCAGATAGCTGATCACCAGAGTAGCTCTTGTAAGCACTGTTCATGTGCTGAACTCTCTTCTACAAGTTTTACCTATACTACTTACAGCAGCAACCTTGTAAGGTAGGTATTATTGTGTTTCAAGTCTAAGACCATTAACATGTTAACAATTCTGACAATCAGAAACTTTTACTGAATGAATACAGTAAAACTGTTCCCATTAAAAAGAGAGAGAGAATTGAATCCTAAAAAGGTCAAGGGCAAGTAATACATGAAATGCCTGAATGTCACTTTAGGGTTTTTGAACTCAAAGCTCATGTTTCGTTTGTTGTTGTTGTTTTATTTTTTTGAGTTGTAGTCTTACTCTGTCGCCCAGAATAGAGTGTAGTAGCACACTCACGGCCACCCCAACATCGACCTGCTGGACTCTGGCGAACCTTACACCTCAGCCTTGCAAGGAGCCAGAACTACAGACATGCACTACTACGCCTGGCTAATTTTTGATTTATTGTCAAGATGAGGTCTCGCCAAGTTGCCCGGACTGGTCTCAAACCCGCGGGCTCAGGCAATTCACTTGCCTCATCCTCCCAAAGTGCTGGGATTGCAGGCTGAGCCACCAACCCAGTCAAGGCTCATACTTTTAGCTACTACAGATTCATGCCCTTGAAGTACACTGACTAGGGTTGCCTGGAATCCACTGACATCAAGTGATCCATGGTAGATCACTAAGGGCATCTGGAGACCTCCTGAAATTATTTATAATACCATTTTGCCTGTGACTTTTTTTTCTGGAGAAGTCAATAGGTTTTTATAATAGTCTCAAGTATGTTCATGACTCCCCCCACCCCAAATAAAACAAGCTTAAGAAATAACATCTGGGGGCAATCAGCTATAGTCAGTAAGTAGAATCTGGCCTTATATGGCACAACATGTTTTAATTTTTTAAACACATTTCATCTGTGGATTTTCTTTGGAGGCCCAAGTTTTACCTGATCCATATTTTTACCAGATTTATGAATAGCTTCAACAAACCCTAAAGACCCCTGGGCTAGAACTCCTATGCCTTTTGCTCCTGAACTGCCCATCCCTCATCATTTATGCCCAAGCAATTGGGATTTCATGTCCTGCAGTCCTTAGATCACTCTCTGACCACTTTCTCCCCAGGTGCTCCCTTCCCTGGGGAGACAGCTCTCCAGACAGCCTTGTCAAAGGCTTGTCCTCCATCCTCCCACTCCCAGGGCCTAAGGTCAGGCCAACATCCTGCTGATTCACAAGCCTTATTCCTTACCTTGGCCAAACTTCTGATCCTTCTTGCCTTCAAGCTAACTGACCTCTCTTCCAGTCTATGCACTTGGGTACCTATCCCGATAACATCGGCCCACTGTCTTTAAAAACTGAGATACTGGCTCGTGTCTTCTCTCCAGGCCAAACCTTGCCTTCTCCTTTGTGACTGCACTATCTGTGGAGATGCATTGGCCTCCCAGATCCTTGACCTTCCCTATCTTGTCTTTCTCTTCCCTCCACATCAGCAGTTCACTCCCGTGTCCACATGCCGTCATTTGCCATCTCCCAAAATTGCTCAATCTCAATTGCTCAGGTTCTCTATCCACCAAAAAATCTTCTTCATTACTCTCTGAACTACTTTCTCAAACATCACCATGTGCCTACCATCTTATAGGCCACATCACAGTTATCTTTTTGTTTTAATTCTTATTCCAAATAAACTATGGTTTTTGAACATCTAGTTTTTTGACCTTTCAAATAAATTATGATTGTCAGCTATTTGAATATCCTATCTAAAACTAAAGCGTTAGATGTTAAAATGTACCGAAGGCAGTGTCTTCTCAAACAAGAATGGTTTTTACTGAGTTTAGTAACCCTAGCAAGACAGAGATGAGGATAATGCATTTTAGGAAGATATGAACACCGAGAGCTGAATTGAAAATAAGGTGAAGTCCTGAGCCAACCAGAGTGTGTGATTTTTGCATCACCCAGGTCATTAAGGACTGACTGGCAATGGATACTGGCTTCAAAGCCTCATTACTAGAGAACCACTACCTGGTTTCAGGTGATAACAGAGGTAATGTTAGTCCTCTGCCAGCCTGAAGCCTTGTATCTCACCTTCTTTATGCAATATCTTCATGTTTCTTCGACTGGATTTTTGGGTGCCTTTTCTAAAGAAAAAAGCCTTTAGTTCCCATTTAGTGAAGGAAGACTGAGCCAGGTACCACAGATTCTAAATTTCAGAGCAGCGTTGCAACCGCTCCATTTCTGGACCTAATAGAGGGCCTGGGCCACAATAGACACTCATCAAATATTTGTTTGAATGGACTGTGTTAATAGTAACTGTGTTGACATTGTCAACTGTTTTGTCAGTGTCGTGTAACTACTGATAGAAGCAAATGGTGTAGTCATTAAGAGGGTTTGGGAGTCAGGCATGCCCAAGTTAGAATTCTCACTGTGCAATTTAATTAACTGTGTGATCACAGGCAACCTAATCTCTCGGAGTCACTGCTTTCTGAGAGCTCTTAGTGCAGTGTCTAGCACCAGGTAAATAGCAAAATTGCCCCATCATTTACTTCTGCCGCCATACTAATGTTTTATTCTGCTTTTCCCCTTAAGCTCGGGACCCGCTTCATTATAGAAGCCATGAAGGCAGCAGGACACTCTATCAGTACTCTTTTCTTGTGCGGAGGCCTGAGCAAGAATCCCCTTTTTGTGCAAATGCATGCAGACATTACTGGTAAGTCTAAGGAGGAGAGAAGGCGATTTGATATTAGATTTGGCAGCAAGTGGGCATGGCCACATTCTGGGTGAGGTGAGAATAGGATATGAGTGATATGCCCAATCGTTAAGATAACTGAAGTCTTTATAGTAATAATGAGGAAATGATGGGGGGAAAGTGACTTCTATGTAGACCCAACTATTGAATGATGGTGAGAAGAGTGAGGCTGGCAAGGATTAGATATTAATTCAGGTGTTCACAAAACTCTTTTGGGCACCTCTTCTGATCCTGGCACTATGGGGAATATTGAAGATACAGAGATGAATGAGGCATGATTCTTGCCCCTAGGGAGCTCAAGGTCTGTTGAAGAAGCAAACAGACATATTAAATAAAGCACAACAAAAGCTCTGAGTGAGACAAGCATAGGGTGTCATGGGAACACAGTGGGACAGGCACCTTGCCTAGTTTTGGACCTCTGACAGCTCAGGGCATGTGCTCTGGAAAAGGTGATAAAGAAACGTCTTAAAGAAAAAACACAGAGCCCAGATACTGTAGAAACTGTGGTCTGGCTGCAGGCTGGGAATTTGAACCCTAGTCCCTGAGATCTTGTGATTCCTTCTCAGCTCATCAGAATAGGGGATCGTGATACAGACTGAGGGAATCTAAAGTTGACTGAGCTCTCTGATACTTAGTAGAGCCCTCTGGGCCCCAAGGAAGGGGCCCCATTGGCAGGAGGTTTGCTGGAGTCACAGAGGCTGGCCTTGGACTTCCATCTCTCTGGATCTGGTTTCCTTACCTCTCTTGCTCCTTGCTCTCCCAGTGTCTCTTGGGGACTGGTGTTCCTTCTCAGGACCTTTCCCTGGATGTTCAGACACCAGGGCATGACAAGGGGAGAGAAGTGGGGGAGGATTGGACCCTGCCCACAATCCTAACTCCAGCCTGATTCAAGCCCACCTTGCCCTAGCCTCTGTTCATCACAACCCCTTGCTGTCATCCATCCCCTGATTCCTTAACTCGGACAGCTGGGCGGGTCAAAGCCTCTGCCACTCACTCTGCCCCATCATACCCCTCTTCCTTCTCCAGGCCACATAAATGCCTGCAGATGAGAGCCGTGTTTAACAAGATAGACATAGCTGATCTTTGCACATTACGAGATGAAACTAAATACGTCACTTATCCCCATCTTAGAGATAAGTAGCCTAAGGCACAGTCGGAGGACAGTAAGAAAAACACAGTCTGAGGGTAGAACTATCAAGGCATAAAGGATGGAAATCACTACCATTGACCTAGCAGCTACTGTGTGTCAGTGTGAGTCATTTAATCCTCATACACCACTAGCAGGTAGAAATTGGTGCCCCCATTACAGACAAGAAAACTGAGGATTAGGGAGCTAAATTAAATGGACTTTCCAAAGTCAAACAGCCAGTAAAGGGCAGGACTAGATTTGTAACCCAGGTGTGTCTGGGCCCACTGTTCCTTTATACTGTGCTGCTGCCTCGAGCTTCTTGACTTTTCCACCCAGTTAGTAACCATTTGACGATGACTCCTCTTTCCTGAGGTGTCCAAAACCTTATGGAAGTGGGCCGTTCTGAAGCAGAAAGAGGAAAGACATAAAGGAGAACCCACATTACCTTATAATTTAACCCAGGAGAAAACCCATAACTACATTTTATCTAAAAATCAGCCGGCTGGTTCAGATAAGGGTCAGGCTTAGAATCTGATCTGTGACTTTACAATTTCCAGCCTTCTAATAGCCAGAAAAACTTTCTACCTGGAGGCAGGAGGGAAGATGAAAGTCAACTTTGGTTAGCCTATTCCCTGAGGGAATGGAAAACAGGCCCCCTCAGAGCAGGGAAGCTGGGAGTGACCCGGGCACTGACTCGGCAGTGCGGCTCTGGCCTTTGTGAAAATGGGTCACCGTCCGTCCAGGCCTGGCATCCCTGAGCTGACTCAGAAGCAGGAGGGTGCAGCAGCTTTACAGAAAGTTCTGCTTTGGAAACTGTCCTCCTCCCGGCTGTTGAATGAAAAGGCTGTTAATCGTTATTTGGATTCGGATTGAAACTGGACCTTTTGTCTCCAACTATGGACCAGTTACAGTTCCAGACAAAGGGACCTTTTCTTTGGCCTGGAATTCCTTAGCCTTTGGAAGCCTGTGACTGACAAGTGGTGGCAAAGTGCATCTGCCTTTGAATGCTTTGGGTTCTGTGAAACTCATTAATGCATCAGATCAAATAGTTCACATTCCAGGCAAAGCCGCCCTCTTCCTCTCCTTCACCCAGCACTCAGAGAAAAGAACACATTTGCATTTGGCCCTGTAAAAGGCACGTACACAAGCGGCCTGTATATAGGTAATGTCTTTGGTGCCCTTAAACATTGTATTTGCTCTAGTTTTCCTACAAAGAAAGACTTAGGAAGGACTTTACCCTGGTACATTATTCTCAGAAATACACTTGCAAAAACATCACAGAATTTGGGAGATATTTTTAGAGATAGTACAGAATAGTAGAAAAAAGCCGGAGACCGGCTCGGTGACTTTGGGCAAGTTACTTGACCTCTCTGAGCCTCAGTTTCTTCTTCTGGAAGACAGAAGTGTTATTATTGCCTTCATGTAGGTCACACTGAGGAATAAATGCTGGTGAGTTTGTGAGTACCTGTCTCTGTGCTCTCTCAAAGGTGTTCGAACATTAGTTCACTTCTTCTCTCCTGATAGCCCCAGGCCAAAAAGGAGGAGGTGCATGTGGAAAAAAAAGTTTAATATTTTGAAAGCGAGTCTTTGCCATGTTAGAAACAATCTGCTGCATGCAAGCAGTCAGAGTGGGCCTTTGTCAGCTTGGGAAATGTCGTCCACGTGTGAAGGAAGAAACTCCTTGTACTCTGATCATTTAGTTAACTGTGGTTTCAAGAAATACTTGATGTGTACTAAGTAATTGTAGGTTTGCCCCACTGACTTGGGACTAAATGTTCCTTCTTCTAAGTTTTGTTTTTAAGTACTGCCAGTTTTAGTAGGGGTTTCCTTCTTCCTGTCTCATTCCTTATTTTATTTCCTTCGTTTGTTCATTCATTTATTCACTCAGAAGCATTCTCTGAGCACAGGGATGCAAAGAAAAACAATAATGTCCTGCCAAGAGATTTGTTCTAAAACACAGAAAAAGTGCCTTTGGTCATACGACTGATGTCCAGAGCTAGCAGAGTGGGGACCCAGAGGACAGAGGTGTCAGTATTTGTCAGGTTCAGGCAGGGAACAGATACACTCAAGTTAGGTTAACTGGAGAACTGAATCAAGAGTTTTTTGACAGAGGTGTGGGTGGGGTGTCAGAAACTCAGACAACCAGGAAGTACTTGGAGGATTCTAGCAGTGTTTCCACCCCTGGTCTTACAGGGGTGGGGGCAGGAAGCAGTGCCTGACCTGAGATGCAGGGGACTGTATGAAGGGGACAGCTCAGGAGGAGCTTAGTCAAGGATGCAGCTGGAGGACAGGAAGCCACAGCTGTGGTCCCCAAGGGCAGTTTACCTGGACTCAGAGCAGGTGGGAGGAGGAGAGGGAAGGGTGAGACTGGTTGAGGGGCAAATGAGTTGGAGCCACTCAGAGTGAAAGGCATGGGGGCAACTTCAGAGATAAGGTAAACTTCTAGGGTCTTAACAGCTAATGTTAATTTAGCGCTTTCTCTAAGCCAAGCACTGTTTTAAGTGTCTTACTCATAATAGCACTTCACATTCTTGCAGCAACCCTATGAGGTGGGTGGAATTTCAACCCCGTTTTGCAGATGAGAAAACTGAGGCACAGAAATATTGTGTGACTTGCCAGCTAAGTCAGCGAGAAAGCCGGAATTCATACCCTAGTGATCTGGGGCAGCTGACCCAGCCCTGAAGGAAGGAGATGAGTGAGGAGGTGTTGGGATGCAGAGGGTGCCTCAGGAAAGTCTTCCCAGACAAGATAAGAAGAGGAATCTAATCTTTGTCTTGAGTAGAGGAAGATTTTATACCACAGAGTTTACCGCTGTGGAGTTTGCTGCCATCTCCTGCTTAGCAGATCATTATATATTTATTATAATCTCAAGACTCCTAAATTATTTCTCGTAATCTTAAACTGCCATGAACCCTCAACCTCTGGGAGTTGGCATGTGGAGGGCTCCTCCCTGCCTGGGGGACCCCTACTCACCTTTTAGATGCTGTTTAACCTCTTCTCCACTGTGACAACTGTCCGGAAATTTGTCTCTCGTCGTTCAATCACCTACTATGTCCTAGGTACTGGCCTAAATGCCAGAGATGCAGCAACAGATAAACCAAAGGCCCCACCTTCATGGAGCTTGCGTTCTAGGGGATAGACCAGATTAGTAAGTAAGAGCAGATGCTGGAAGGTAAGGAAGAAACGGGGAAGGAGCTAAGGAGTGTTGAGGGGGAGTTGCAATGTTGAGTCCCATGGGCAGAGAAGGCTTAGTGGAAAGGTGGTGCTTCCATAAAAAATTGAAGGAGGCGGAGACATTTACCATGTGGGCATCCGGGAGGAAGTGTTGCAGACAGGGAACAGCATGGGTAGGGGCTCTGAGGCATACTTAAGAAATAGCAAGGAGGCCAGGATGATGTGGTTGGCAGGAGAGGAGGAGATCTGGGTGGGAAAAGTGAGATCAGATCTTGGAGAGAGGGCCCCTTGTCAGCCACTGTAAGGACTGCGGCTTGCACTCAGAGAAAGGCGGGAAGCCTCTAGAGAGATAAAGCCCACCCCCTTTTGCTACTTCCTTCTCTTAGTACATCTCACTTAGATAACCAGCCCCCTACATAGCCTTTATCTCCCTCATCCATCTTCCCTCTGAGACCTGAATAGCAGGGCACAGTCTGATTCATCTCAGTCAGTATTCCCTGGGCCAGCAGAGCACTTAATAAACACTTGCTGAACTGAACTTGAACCAAGTGGCAGGTAGCAGCTCGCAGAAGCCTGGAAAACCTGGGCACCAAGGTCTCGTGAGTTGATATATATGGTGTTGGCTCCCTTGGGGCCCTTGGCTACTGCACCAGCAGGCACAGGCCATGAAATCCTTTAGAACCAGGTAATCCCAGGGAACAAGGAATGGAGGGCTGGCGGGGGTGGGGAGCGGCAGGGAGGCAGCAGGGAGGGGGCTCTTGCTGCTGCCTTGACGTCAAGTGTTTTTACCACTGGGGCTGCCTGCTCTCCTCCCACACTGCCCCTGACCCTTTTCCCTAACCGAGGTGTGGCCTTGTCCTGCGCAGGCATGCCTGTGGTCCTGTCACAAGAGGTGGAGTCTGTTCTTGTGGGTGCTGCTATTCTGGGTGCCTGTGCCTCGGGGGATTTCGCTTCTGTACAGGTATGTGAGGACCGAGGGGTGGGCCCTGGCCCCTCCCCTGTCTGAGCCCATCCTTCTCCTTGACAGCCGCTCACGTCTTGCAAAACACACACAGGATATAATTAGGAAATGATAGGTTCCAGCCAGGGAGAGCACAAACGCTTCTAGCCTCAGACACATTTATTACGTTTTTCGTTTGACTTGGCTTCTGTTAGTGTTGGTCGTTTTGTTTTTCTGTTGTTTTTTTCTTTCTCCTTCAAAATAACTCTTAAATTGTTTATTTTAAGTTGCCCTTTAGCCATTTGTGTTTGGGCAAATGAGATAGATAGGGCTCAAAATTTCAGTTTTTCATGTATGTTTCAGATTTTTATTTGCTTATGTCAATCCCACCACATTCCAAATACTATTTGAGGCCTCTATTAACAAGAGACACAACTGGAAATATTAGTAAAAAAAGACTTAAAAGGGAAAATAAAGAATAAGGATACAAGAAAAGGAAAACAATTTGGTGGCTGTGATTAACACATAATTTGGCTCTGAGCTTCCTGGCAGCCAAGACAAAAAAGAACACATGATAAGTTGCATAATTCTTATTTTCAAAAAGAGGAAACATACTAGTTTCTGGTGAGAGGCAGAGCTTTTTCTGCCACTAAATTGCGAAAGCCATTGCACACATGAGGCTTTGTGGAGAGGCTTTGAGTGCTAACATAATACAAAAGACAGAAAGTGAGTATAGTGTAGGACAGAGACTCTGGCATTAGACTCCCTGGGTTCAAATCCTAGTTTGTCTACCCACCAACGCTTGTGACCTAACTACTCTTCTCTGTACTTCCACGTCTTTATCTGTAATAATAATCAATAGCACATTATGAGTTCTTTCTATGGGTCTAGCATGCTTATTTAGTCCCTGCAGTGGCTATGTTATTTCCATTTTATCACTGGGGAATTAAATAACTTGATCTTCGTTGAAATAGCTAGTATATGAGAAGATGTGAGAAGTCTGGCTTCTAAGTCTCAACTGAGAGTTCAAGAGATGTTTGTTCAGCTGAGAAGCAGAGGGCTTAAATGACTTGCCCAAGGTCTCAAGTTTAGGATAACAAGGTAGGTTTTCTGTCAGTAAGTAGCCCAGTAACTAGAGCCTCATTTATTGTCACTCTCTTATGTGATAGGCACCATGCTAGGTGCTTTTCATACTATCTTCCTAGCATCTGTAACAACTTCCATGGACCGCAGAGATTGGGCTACAGAGATCCAGAAAGCCTATAGAACTTAAGGGTACACAGTTAGAAACGAATAGATGCAAAAATCTGATGCTCTGTGTACTGCATTTTGGAAAATGTGGCACACTCTCTACTGCCCAAGTCCCTGGAATTGATGACTATGAAATATCTCTTCCAAGGAAATGAATTCACTCGTGAATGCTTGTGCATTTTGCCCAAGTCTTTAAACAAAGATGGTATAGTTGAATTCTCAACTTTTTCTGGATTTTCTGGTCCTCTTTCAAAATATCACATGGAGATATTTATTTATTGTTAAAATGTCAGTTATTATTTTAATGAGTCAACTTTCAAAGACTGTGTCACAACTAGATGTCTTGCCCTTCCTGCGGCAAGTTGTAAGCAGAAGGAATACTTAACTATGGCCTTGGATTGGTTAGCTCGTGTTATGGTCTGAATGTTTGTATTCCCCCCAAAATGTGTGCCAACTAAGGCCCTGCATTGGTTACCTCGTGTTATGGAATGAATGTTTGTATCCCCCCAGAATTTACTTGGACATCCAATGCAATGTATTTGTAGCCTTGGAAGATAATTAGGGTTAGATGAGATCATGAGGGCAAGACCTGGTCTGATGGGTCATGATGGTCTGATGGGTCCTTTCACAAAGAGACATCAGAGAACTTGCTTGCTTGCTTCACCATGTGAGGACACAGCAGGAAATCAATTGTCCACAAGCCAAAAGAGGACCCCTGCCAGAACCCAACCTCGTTGGCACCCTGCTCTCAGACTTTGAGCCTCCAGAACTCAGAAGGAGACATAAAATTCCATTGTTTAAGTACCCAGCTGTAGTATTTTGTTATGGTAGCCTGAGCTGACTAAGACACTTCATTTAAGCTTGACCATCTTCCTGCTTGTAGAATAGACGATTTTGTCCTCATGTTATGTATGAGGAAACCAAGGCTCAGAAAGATTTTAAGTAATTTGCCCAAGGCTACACACTTAATAAGGCCAGAAGCAGAATTAAAATGAAGTTTCCTCTGGATCTGTATCCAGTCCAAATGCTCATTCTTTTTCTAATTTGTTTGATTTTTATTTTATTTTTTAAAAATATTTTTTGGTTTCTTAAATGTTCAACAGTGTATTTTCTGATGAGAAATGCCATTGGTTGCAAATCAGGAGATTGCCTATAGCCTAAATAAAGCATAGCATGACAAGATAGGGCTGCTCTGTCAGATATGTCATACCATGACTTTTGGCACTTCATTGATATCTTAGTCAAAACTGGGTTTGCAGCTCCAAGGGAATTCCATTCATATTTTTCCCTAATTGGAAACGGAGCTTAATTTCACACTGACAACTTTGTTACGTGAGATTTGCTGTTAATCTTCTGGAACAGAATCTAAGATATGGTAGATCAGATATTGGAACTGGTGACTTGAGTTGCAGCTGCAAGGCTCACAGCATCTTAAAGACAAGCTCATGTCTTTCAACTCAAGGAAGTATGTGCCTGTTCTGATTGTTTTAAGAAGACACAACCTAGTAAACAGAGTCCCAAGCTGAGGCCTGAGGTCTCATCTGTCATCACTGACCTGTGGGAATCCCCTTTGTCTGGAGCACTGTGATTGTATATCCTCAGACTATATCATCTGTCCTTTCTGGGTACTTGTCTTATTTGTCTGTCTGTTTTGTATCTTAAAAAAAAAAATTAAGAAGAATTGCCTCTCATGTGAAACTGTTGAGATGAAGAGCGTTTGGAAGTTTCAGTAACCTCCCAGATATGGTCAACATCATTAGAATGATTATGTTTGGAAATATAAACACATGTAGACTTGGCTTCATTCACCCTTCTCCAAAGGAAAGGGGCTGACCTGTATGCCCCAGGCCTGTGGACCAGCTCAAGATTCTGGCAAAATGAGGCAAAACAGAACTGCTTCCTCCCTGTACATTATATTTTTCAACCTGAACTTCAACACAATTTTTTCTTTGAACTTCAAAGATCCAAGCTTGGTCTATAGGGTACCTGCCATTCCTTTAAGAAAGCTGAGCAAGTCCCACCAGCAGACCAGATGTTTTATCTTCTCATAGACCACACACAGGTGGTTGGATTGAGGATTTCGCTTCTTATCTAGATAGGCAGACTTTGGTAGTCCCTGACAGAATCATCTTCTTCAGATGTAGAAAAGGTTAGGAAGAATTCAGAGAACCCCGACTGCAGACATAGGAAAGACACTAATGTGCTTGGAGAGACAGGGTTTCCCAATTCCCTAGGCCCATGAATGGAGTGTTTCAGCCAGGGATAAAGTCCTATACCTGCCCACAGTATAGGACTTCCTTTGGTACTGATGGATTAGAATGGACCCACAGCTGTGAATTTTGCAAACTTCTCTTTTTCAAAACTGGGGGAATTTTTTCAGGTGGAAGGAAAAAAGTAACGAGTGGAATTATCTGAAGTGTTGTTAATGACAGATTGGTCAACTACAAGGTCTATTGCTATTGCAGATTTTGAAACATGCATAAAATTCCTAGCTTCCATCTTGTGTCCATTAATCCATTCATATTCTTACCCTCCTAGTTTCTCTCTCTCTTCCTCTGCCTTTTCCTGTTCGCCCTTCCTTTAGACATCTAACATCTTCTTACTATTTCCTTTTCAAATTAGCATCTCACAAAGGATACTGATATAGACATTCATCCATTCATGCTAGAGAACAGAATGATAAATAGTGTCTTAAAGAGTCATCCCTCTTCAGAAAGACTGTTTTCCTTTTTGTAGTTTTCAAAGCTGCGTCTTCACTAGAGAGGGTAATCTCCTGCAGGATGTGTATTCTTGAGGACAAGTCATGAGCATATTAGTATCTGCAGTTTAACCAGTAATGTGGAATCACGCCGCAGAGATGCTGCTTTCATGGTAAAAGTTCATCTGCTGAATAGGTGGAAGGTAACACAAGGAACCCAGTCTACTTCCCCTACTTCTACTCACAGAAACGTGGAATCCATGAGGTCTTGACCACTGCGACCTTTCTCCTCAGTCACCCTCCTGTCCCCAGCATCAGTGCAATACAAAATGATCCTCTACAATTCTGAATATCCTGGAAAACATATAATTATAATTAGAAGTTTAGAGTATCCCATAGCACTTCTGTAGGCTCCAATGTCCTGGAAAAGTAAGAAACTGGAAAAAATAAACTTACGGAATATCACCAGGCTTATATTTTCTAAGCACAGACAGTGGAAAGGTTCTAAGAAAACAAGTAGTTTCAAGTCGGAGTGAGAGAAAACCCCACCGTATGGCAAAGAGACAGCAATATGAAATGGCTTTTTACTTTCTTCTTCCTTCAGGCCCCCTATAGATGTCATTAACTTTCTGTCATTTCTTTTTTTTTTTTTTTGAGTTGGAGTCTCACTGTGTCGCCCAGACTAGAGTGCAGTGGCCACTCCCGGCCACCGCAGCCTCGCCTGCTGGGCTCCGGTGATCCTTCTGCCTCGGTCTTCCGAGTAGCCGGAATTACAGGCATGGCGCTACCACGCCCAGCTGATTTTTTTTATTTATTGTAGAGAAGAGGTCTCGCTGCCCAGGCAGATCTCGAACCCGCGGGCTCAGGCAATCCACTCTCCTCAGCCCCCCAAAGGCGCGGGATTACAGGCTGAGCCACCAAGCCTGGATCTTTTTGTCATTTCTTAAGAGGCAGGTCTTTCCCAAGACTATTTATTCAAAATAAGCTTTAATTCCAGCAGTGCTATCTTGAACTGCTGTCCCCCTCCCCCCCGGGGGGGGGGAAGTAGTGGAGGAAGCATCTGAAGCAAAAA